GTGTTTCCATATGAATTTTTGAATTATTTGTTCCAATTCATTGAAGAATGTTGCTGGTAATTTGAGAGGGATTGCATCAAATCTGTATATTGCTTTGGGCAGGATGGCCATTTTGACGATATTAATTCTTCCTAGCCATGAGCATGGGATGAGTTTCCATTTATTAGTGTCCCCTTTAATTTCTCTTAAGAGTGACTTGTAGTTTTCAGAGTATAAGTCTTTCACTTCCTTGGTTAGGTTTATTCCTAGGTATTTTATTCTTTTTGATGCAATGGTGAATGGAATTGTTTTCCTGATTTCTCTTTCTATTGATTCGTTGTTAGTGTATAGGAAAGCTACAGATTTCTGTGTGTTAATTTTGTATCCTGCAACTTTGCTGTATTCCGATATCAGTTCTAGTAGTTTTGGAGTGGAGTCTTTAGGGTTTTTTATGTACAGTATCATATCATCTGCAAATAGTGACAGTTTAACTTCTTCTTTACCAATCTGGATTCCTTGTATTTCTTTGTTTTGTCTGATTGCCGTGGCTAGGACCTCCAGTACTATGTTAAATAACAGTGGGGAGAGTGGGCATCCCTGTCTGGTTCCCGATCTCAGAGGAAATGCTTTCAGCTTCTCGCTGTTCAGTATAATGCTGGCTGTGGGTTTATCATATATGGCCTTTATTATGTTGAGGTACTTGCCCTCTATTCCCATTTTGCTGAGAGTTTTTATCATGAATGGATGTTGAATTTTGTCAAATGCTTTTTCAGCATCTATGGAGATGATCATGTGGTTTTTGTCTTTCTTTTTGTTGATGTGGTGGATGATGTTGATGGATTTTCGAATGTTGTACCATCCTTGCATCCCTGGGATGAACCCCACTTGGTCATGGTGTATGATCCTTTTGATATACTGTTGAATTCTGTTTGCTAATATTTTATTGAGTATTTTTGCATCTACATTCATCAGGGATATTGGTCTGTAATTTTCTTTTTTGGTGGGGTCTTTGCCTGGTTTTGGTATTAGGGTGATGTTGGCTTCATAGAATGAGTTTGGGAGTATTCCCTCCTCTTCTATTTTTTGGAACACTTTAAGGAGAATGGGTATTATGTCTTCTCTGTGTGTCTGATAAAATTCCGAGGTAAATCCGTCCGGCCCCGGGGTTTTGTTCTTGGGTAGTTTTTTGATTACCGTTTCAATTTCTTTGCTCGTAATTGGTTTGTTTAACTTTTGTGTTTCTTCCTTGGTCAGTCTTGGGAGGTTGTATTTTTCTAGGAAGTTGTCCATTTCTTCTAGGTTTTCCAGCTTGTTGGCATATAGGTTTTCATAGTAGTCTTTAATAATTCTTTGTATTTCTGTGGAGTCTGTCGTGATTTTTCCATTCTCATTTCTGATTCTGTTGATTTGTGTTGATTCTCTTTTTCTCTTAATAAGTTTGGCTAGAGGCTTATTTATTTTCTTTATTTTCTCAAAGAAATCTGCTTCCTGCCCGGCTGCTATGGAGTTTATCTCCGCTGTTGCTGTGGGCGTGGCCTGGCTCTGGCTCCTGCTCCAAAATGGTGGAGCTCCATAGGAGGGGGAGCGGCCGGGAGGCTATTTATCTCCGTAAGGGGCCTCCGTGCTCCCTGCTGCCCAGTGAGTTAGAGTGCCCAGAGTTCCCCAGATTCCCTGCCTCTGGACTAAGTATCCTGTCCTGCCCCTTTAAGACTTCCAAAAAGCACTCTCCAAACCAAAACAACAACAGCAACAACAACAACAACAAAAATTAAATCAATAATTAAAAAAAAGAAAAACGCATGATATTCTTTGTCCTCAGGTGCCGGTCTCAGGTCTGGCTGCCCTGTTTCCCTAGTATTGGGGTCCCTGTCCCTTTAAGACTTCCAAAAAGCACTCGCAAAAAAAAATAAATAAATGGCCGCTCCCATTTCTTTGTTCTCCAGTGTTGGCCTCAGGTACCCGCTCACCGGTCCTGCCGCCCCATTTCCCTAGTATCCAGGACCCCACCCATGCACTGTGTCTGTGCTCTAGTCTGGATGGCTGGGGCTGGGTGTTCAGCAGTCCTGGGCTCCTTCTCCCTCCCTGCTGACTCCTCTCCTCCTGCCAGGAGTTGGGGGGAGGGGCTCTTGGGTCCCGCTTGGCTGGGGCTTGTATCTTACCCTCTTCGAGAGGCGCTGAGTTCTCGCAGGTGTGGATGTGGTCTGGATGTTGTCCTGTGTCCTCTGGTCTCTATTTTAGGAAGAGTTGTCTTTGTTATATTTTCAGAGATATATGTGGTTTTGGGAGGAGATTTCTGCTGCTCTACTCATGCCGCCATCTTGGCTCTGCCTGCAGATTGAACTTTTAAAAGGCTCTCAAGGCCAGGAAGTTTTGCTTATAATACCTATATATTTGGGCTAATTTCTTTCATCTTGAGTTTCCCACAGCACGTAAGTCCACTTAGTAAAGCTCTAGGAACCCTGTAAGTAAGTCACTAAGCTGGCTTTGTAAGGGTCTTTTTTGGCTTCAGAAAGTCAACCTTAGTTCCTTAAAATTGTCTGGTCATATCTGATTCTGTGTACATTCTCAAATATGGCATTCCAGTCAAAGCTTGGGTAATATAACCAATGTTTCCAATTGCATCCTGTTACAAGGAGAAAGGATTCTTATTTAACTTATGCAAATAATTATATTGCCATGAAAGTAAGAATACTCAAGAGTTTCTCGAGGAATCAGGTGGGGAGAAAAAGTTTCATCTTTGTTCACAAAGGTATATTTTACCAAAATACTGATAGCTTAAGAGAAAAGAAAAGGGTTTCCTCAAATTTGGAAAAACAACAACCAAGAATGTTTCAAACAAAAGTCATAAAATTATGATTATCCTCATCAGTTCATTTAGCTCCATGTAATTAATTTTTTATCTTGATCTTCAGTTTTAGGAAGCCATCAGTTCCTTCATAAAAGTTCTACAGATTGTTAGCCAGTTCACTGTGGTATGATCTGGAAGTTACCAGAAACTGTCCTTTCCATCAGTTTCCTTTAAATGAAGCACTCTGGCAAAAGCACTGGAGTAAAACTATCTGTAAAAGACTTAAAAATGGCTATGGTTAAAGATCTGATGAGAGTCCATTATAATGAAGTTGACAAGGATATTTGGTTTTTTCTGTGACACATTTTAAGATGATAATTGGAATTATGACTATAACATTACATGTCAGATTTTTAGGAATTTTATACAATTTCTGGAACACATATCTATAGAGCTGTAACCTAAAGAGGGGTTTATTATTACTTCCTACTTGATAATGCTTCTCATATAATTTAATAAATCAAATAAGCCTAAGTAGTTTAACATCCCAATAAGGAGTGAGAGAACAGATCTTTGGGATTTTCCAGATATGATTCCTGGAACATCTCAAAAGATAGAGGTCAAAAAGATTTCATTTAGGATTTGATTTGGGGATAGTTTTCAAAAATACCAAAAGGTTTTAAAACACTCAGTCAAATAGGATCATAGGTATCCTACTTATCCGTTTGACCAAAGTGACAAAGACTTCACAGGCAAATACAGAAAATTATATAGTTGTTAAACAAAAACCTTAGCTCTTTTAATCGAAAAGACTCAGTTTTCTTAAATAATCAAACATGAAGCATAGGAAATTATTTTGATAAAGCAAGTCTTTGTTTTTTAGGCAGAATACTTAAGACTGTGAAAGATTTTTCTTTACCTTTTATCAAAATCAGTTTTTCCCTTAACAAAAAAACACATCCTACTTTCCTTGCATGTAGAGTTGTTAATATTTCTCATAGTTTTAAATTACATTTATTAGACTTTTTACCCTCGAAAACCTTATTTCTAGTAATTGTGAACTGTACACTAGCATTCTGCAGATTATTAAATATATTCATAGATCTGCCAATTTCTAGAAGCATATGCCTTTTTAAATAGTACAATTTTTCAGTGTAGCTTACTTATAAATTCAGGTATCTTTAGTTTCTCTGTAATAAGGCAAAAGTAGACAAATCTCTGTTTAGTAATAAATGTTTTAGGATCTTATTTAGAAATGATCCAGATAGTCAATGAATTCTGCCACTTACCTTAGCAAAAGTCTAAGGGTGTAAATTACCAAAGAGATTTGAGAAACTAAGTAGACACAGAACATAATTATTGTTGAAAATTTCACTTAAAAACATTTATTTAATTCACTGGTTCTTACCATATTTAGATTATATGTGAACAGTTCATTAGACATTAAAACAGCTAGCCAGCATGACAGACTTTATAACATATCCCACCTGGCCTTGGCCTATTTTACATAACAGTGGATGTTTACTATGGCAGAGCCTCCCATCAATCCAAGCCAAGGGGTAGAGAGAAAGTGGCCATTCTCTCTTCCCCTCCATTCCTGGTACCTAATTGGTCTGGTGCCCACCAGTCACCAGGGACCCGCCCATGGAGTTCCTTTCAGAAGGGGCGGCTGGAGGGACATGGGGCTCCAGCGCCACAGGGACAGACCAAGCCAGGGCTGGCTACCGAACTCAAGCAAGCTGTGAGCAATAAAAACCCTTTCTCCCAACCTGCCCTTCCCCTTGTCCTTCAGTTTCATCAGATGCATAGGGAACTCGCCCTGCGTTGGGAACCCCATTACTCCAGGAGCTACGGTGACCCACGGCAAAGCTTGTCTAAACAGACTCAGGTCTGGGGAGAACCACGAACTCACCCCAGTCTGTGCCTGAGTCTCAGCCTCAGTCTGTGAGGCTAATAGGATCTGTTCCTGCATTCCTGTGGTTTTCCTCCTTATTACAAATGACACAAAAGACACAGACCAAAGAAAACAGTAAACATTCCTGGGAGGAAAGGAATTGATGGAAACTAAGAGTACTCATCACACATTTTTACCAGAGTCACTATGTCCAAGGAACTGGTTCACACAAGTATTTCCTCCAGTTCACCTAAGTTTAGGAAAAGGACTCGCACCACTGTCACTTCCACTGGACCCTGCAGAAAGAGACCCAGGAGGCTGAGTGATAAGAATTCTTACCTTCTGCCATTCTTCTTGGAGGCCCCAGGAGCTCTCAGCTGCAGCAGCCCCAGAGCCAGTGGTGTCCAGCCCGTGGAGGGATCCATGTTGGGCTCCAGACTGTACAGATGGAAAACTTTTCTTCTCTTCTAGGTTCTTTGGTCAGTCTAAAATTAAATGGACATAAGACAGATTAACAGGAAAAAAATATTTCATACAGAGCCCCATTAAAAATATGAAGCCCAAAGGCAGTCAAGCACTTGGAGCTTATATGCCACCCTGAGTGAAGGAAAGGGATGGGGCCTGTAGCTTCAGAGGGGAGGAAGGCCATTCACGGCAATGCTTGACAATCAAATGACGTCTTTTATTGGCAACAGTTAGCTGAGAAGTGGCTCTCTTTCTGGCACAGGCCCCTCTCTCAGTTCTTTTAGGCAGTTTAGGGAGAAGTAAAAGGTTCTTCCTGAGTCTGCTGGGTCTTAATTCCCTTCCACTCAATATAGACCACATGCCAAGGCAGTTTGAGATGACATATTCTGCCCCCCTTCAACAGGCAGAAGTAATACATACTTACTGCAGAAGATGCAGAAAACACAGAGAAAAATAAGAAAAATTTCCTTTAGTCCCACCACTTCCCAAAGCATATTTATATGTTTTTTTTAACTAAAGTAAGACAATCTGCACATCTTGCTTTCATCCATCCATCCTGAACATTCACATTTTAAATGTTACTATTTATTGTTTTTAATGTCATCTTATAGTACAGTGTGCTACAATATCCAACTTTTGGACATTTAAGTTGCTTCCAGGTTTTCACTATTAATAGCAATGTGATAATAAACATTCTCAGAGCTGAATGCACATGTCCTTAGTTATTAGTCACTGGGATAAAGAATTGTTACATCCCAGGGTACTCATTTTTAAGGCTTTTGAAAGCTATTGCCAGTCCCCTTCCAGAAGTGCCGTGCAGAGCATGTTCCAATGGGAGTGTGTAGAGAGTGCCAGTTTCTCTCTAACATCTTCATTAACATTTTTCTCAGCTTGGCCAGTTTGGAGAAAATTGGTATCTTCTTTAAAATTTGTGTATCTTTGATTAAAACTCAGAGGTTTTTTTTATATTAATCATTGCCATTTGTGTTTTATCTTTTGTAACTTACCTCTTAATCCTTTTTGCTTTTCCTGTTGGAGTGTTCAACTTGTGAAAATTTATTTGTAAGAACTTTTCTGTTACGAATATTTTTTTCCAGTGTGCTATTTCCCTTTGTTTCTTAAAATACACTTGTTTGCAGAGCACCCATTGTCTTTTGTAATTTTTACACTTAAATGTACTAAATATGATCTCCTTTTTTAAGGTATGAAAGCTTTCAAAATCCAAAGAAGAGAAAAAATCAAAGTGGAACAATGTTTCGACCTGGACAGAAAGTAACTCTAGCATAAAATAGACTTATGGTTATTTTTTTTTGTTTTTTTGTTTTTTTGGTGGCTTGTCCCTATATTGCAACAGTAAAAATGGTGTCTGTAAATTTCTTTTTAATTTGACACATTGACTTACTGTATAAAATCACAGATTGGTAAACCTGTGGTTCTGTAATGATCAGGATTACTTGAGATTCATACTATATAACAAATTGGGATATTTATAACAGATTCTGTATTTTATTTCCTATAAATCCTTCCATATTAAATCCTTAATGAAATAATATTGGCCAAATAGTGTAAGAAATATTTTTCTCTTTTGAAGAAAAGATAGAACTCACTGTCAGCTACATATTCCATATCTTGTCTTGACAAAATTTATGCTTAGCAACTTCTTGACTGTTTTAGAAATAAAATACTATTTACTGATCCAAGTATCTTCTTTTATCAGCATATGTAGAATTTACACACAGTTCAGATAAATTTGTTGCCTCAACCAAAAACGTGATCACATTCCCCTAACATAACTACATCCAGCTCCAAGGCCAGGATCTTGAATGCTGTTCATTCCTCCCCTGGGGCCATCATGACATCTTGCTGATCTCTACTTTATGAACCAGATTATAAAGTCAGCCATCATCAACACAACCTATATTAATACTGTGGTAAAGAAAAAGAAATTTAGGTAACATACAGGTAAGTACATGAGACAGGAAAGAAACAGGTACAGGCAGCACCCACTGCCCTTCCTGCAGCCAATCATGAGGCAGGCTGCTATTTTTTATGTCTCTCTTCCATCACTTAGTCCATGTTCCTCTGAGTACAGCCAGTGCCTCAGTGGATTAGATGCACTACTAGGTGGGATGATCCAAACCTTCAGTCCCATGGAGACCCTGGCGGCCTGCCTAAGATCACAGAAGTCAGCTGTTAAATTTTGCCATAAGTGTCCAGTATTCCCACAGGGTTCGGTCTATGCTGCTCCCATCCCCGTGTGCAGCAGCAGTGGGTGGCTGGAGCTGGAGGCCAACTGACACCTGTAGAGAAGCCATCCAGGGCCCCTGATCATTAAAGCACTGAGGAGTCAGCTGAGTGTTCACACAGGGCACAGACATGCTGACTCTGAGCCCATTCCAAGAACTCTGGCCATACCTTTCCCCCAGACCTCGTGACCAGTTCTCCAGCCATGCTCTTTCCAAATCTCTGGTCACCTGGTTATTAGCCACTGTCTATGGATCAATGTAGGTTTTTATATCAGACATCTCTACCTGCTGGCAAATGGAAGGGACTCCCCTCAGGCTGTGTCTGTTAGTCTCAGATTCAGAAAATCTCCCTTGGGGGGCTGCCCATCTGCACTGGTGGTCCGGGCTCTCCCCCAGGTACAGTAGGCACGCCCGCCCTTGGATGGGTAGGTCTCCATAAAGGAATTAGTGCAGACCTAGTGTTCCTGATCATCAATCCCAGAGTGTCTAGTTATCTCTCAGCACATCTGAGAAATGGCCTAGTGAGTGGTTTCGGGTCCTTTGGGGAAGACTTGGAAGAAGGAAGATCTGTAGCAGGTACTCATGACGTTACCACAGGGGTAATATCCATTCCATAGGAACATCTGACTTCCATTCTTGGTCTGACCTAAGAGAACTGGCTATATTGTGATGACTCAATCAGGCCTTGTTTACTAATAGATATTTTTAAATAAGAATCAAGTAGGATCTTTGACCATCTGTTTTGGTCTTAAAGATCCCACAATTAGTTAGGCAGCACCAAAGAACTCTGCAGGTCAGACCACTGTGATTAATGTGCCAGCTTTGTTGATTATGGAAGCCACTTGGCCTCACATTGCAGCTACCCAACTCTGATGTCCCAAATGCTCCCGTCCCCACTGAAATCAGAGCCCATTTCTACTGCAACATCTTCCATTTGTATCCCCATCAACTGTGGCAGTTTCTGTAGACTGACTTATTCAACACCCATTCTAACACCTCTCCCTTGCCTTCTGCTGCTCTCTGGAGAGTGAATTACTGAGTCACATAATCTCCATTAGAGCCATGCATGGCTATGTGACATAGTTTTAGACAATGAGTATAGGTAGAAGTCCCTGGGTGGGCTCCCTCCCTGAAATGAGGGTACAATGTCTGGGATGCAGGAATCATCTTGCAAACATGAGGGTAAAAACTACAAGCAACTGATAGCAGAACAAGAAAACAGAAGTAGCTTGGTTTCCTGATGGCATCATGATGTCACATACCAGCCCCTGGATGTCCTACTCCTGGACCTTTTTTATTGCCTGAGAGAGAGAAATCTTGTCTACTTCTCTGAGAAGGGTTCCTATTAGTCAAAACCAATCCTACCACATTCACCAATGTATTCCTTATGACCTTGTTGGAGGAGTTTTCTGACAGCCGCACTATTTTGGTGGACAGAGTTGGGGGTGGTAATAAGTTGGTAAACTGTATAGGATTCATTCACTCAACATGCCTACCTCACAGTCTCTGGATTTCTTTCATTAATCCAAGATATTTCAGACATCTCAACTTTACTCAGTGTGAATCATTGAGTCTGGGTTCCAATTACTCAACCATGGAATGAATTAGAAACTTCCAGATGCTGAAACAGCACAATGAACCAAAAATTAAATATTAATTAAAGTTATGCCCATGAATATATTCAACCTGACCAATAATAATGCTCTTTCCTTAGTCTAACACCCACACACACAGTTATCTCCACATATACTTCTTAGATTTTGCATAAAGAAGCAAAATATTATAATTCTTGTATTGCCTAAGCTGCCTCCTCGTTTCACTTTTTATTGGCTCCCTAGGGCATGCTGGGATCAGACAATGGTTGGGGGAGTTGGGATGCAAAAGTGAACTTCCTTTTCTGCAAGACTAGTCCCTCACACGTGTATGCATTTCAGGGTCCTCAAGCAAGGGACATAGGGGCTATTTCACTAACAAGAAAGATTTTTAAAGTGGGCATTCAGGGGACTCCAGATTCTTCCATGTTTCCCCATCCCAATTGTCAGAGGCTCGCTCTTTCTGACCAAGGCTTTAACTTTACCATTCGAGAGCTGATAGGGCTATGAATATGGCATTATGAATCCAATGTGGAAAATGTAATCCAGTAAGCTGTGGGTTCAACCCTGCATTTGGTTTTCAGCTTTCAGCTTCATGGCTCCAAAAGACCAGGGGTTCTTTTAGCAGGCATACAAATCCTTAATTTCCAGCCTGTGCCTTGAGCTGAAAATATAAACATCTGGCTTGTCTTTCTTTAAGGTCTCTAGTGCTACAGTCAGCTCACCCATTTGAAATCCTCTTATGTTCCATAGCAGCAACCCCTTCAATGGGCACCTCATTCCTGGGAATTCACAAGGCATTGTGTTAAGCAAAATTGGATTTTCCTTGGCCTCAGCCTTTACTGAGGCAGATAAATAATCTCAAATTTCCCCTTCTTTTCTTTTCTTTTTTTTAATTAAGGTATCATTGATATACAATCTTATGAAGGTTTCACGTGAGCAACATTGTGGTTACTACATTCCCCCTATTATCAAGTCCCCCGCCAACATACCCCATTACAGTCACTGTCCATCAGGTAGTAAGATGCTATAGAGTCATTACTTGTCTTCTCCGTGCTATACTGCCTTCCCTGTACACCCTCTACATTATGTGTACTAATCATAATGTCACTTAATCCCCTTCTCCATCCCTTTCTATGCCTTTCCCCCCCCCGACCCCAACCGCTTTCCTTTGGTAACCGT